TATATGCATGTATGTCTTTATATAGCTATGTAATTGATATTTCATGTTATCTTTACAATTTTTGAGAAGCAGAAATGTGTACCCTGAATTTCCTGAAATGTAAATTAAAATTGCTGTCATCTTTCTTGCATGTGAAATGTGTCTCATGTCATTGCCACTATAGTCATCCTCTGCTGCCATTAATAATATTAACCAACTGTAAAGCTAATTAATACACGATATGCATTTATGTTTAAGGTGTTCTGGTTTCAATTTTCCTGATTTTGACATGCTGTGTCCTTTTATTTAAAAATAATGTTAAGACTTCTTGTGGATTTAAAAACAAATGCATGGGAGAATTGCTGATGAATTAGGAGCTTTGAAATGGAAGGTCTTGCCTCTGACATTTAAGATAATTAGATTCTGGTGCACTTCTTGGTAAGCAGGCTCTCTTTTTCCATCTCTGCTGTGCGTTTTCTCTCTATCAGCATGCCCATCCTTGAGTTTGCTTTTTGTTGCTTTTGTTCTTCTGTCTTCTCTGCACCACATTTCTCACTCTTTTTCTTTCCAACCCCCACTCTGATCATGATATAAAACTGATATATTTGTTGTATTTAAGCTGAATTTTGAATATTTCCTCTTGATAATTTAAAAAGTAGGGGGAGACATGAAGAGGCAGAGCACAGGGGATTTTTAAGGCAGTGAAACTACTCTGTATCAGACTCTAATGGTAGGGTAGATACACGTCCTTATATATTTGTCCAAACCCATAGAATGTACAACACCAAGAGTGAACCCTAATATGAACTATGGACTTGAGTGATTATGATGTGTCTATGCAAGTTCATCGATTGTAACAAATGTACCGATATGATGGGAGATGATGATAATGTGAGAGGTTGTGCTTCTTTGTGGGCAGGCGGTACATGGGAACTGAACTCTCTGCTCAGTTTTGCTGTGAACTGTCTGAAAGAAATAAAGCCTATTTTTAAAAAGTAGGACGCATGAAATATTTTGTTCTTTTTGTAAAAAATAAATGTAATTCTTTTGTACTTATGTGAACCTTTAATTTTCTGCCTGTTTGTGGTCCTAATTACTTTCTCCCCATCCTTGATAGTTTGGAAGGTTGTATTCCATTTTCTTGCCAACTTGTCTGGCATAGTTATGAAGACTAGCAAATGTGTATTGAATACTTTGAAGGCTTTAATGAAAAGTGCTAGGTAAAAGCAAAACAACTTTATTGTTAGAGTAGGGGAGTGAGTCAGAAATTTTGAGGTAGATTCCTCACTATTTGACTCTGGAGGCAATGCACCCCACAGGTAAAGTGGGTAACAACCAGTGAAAGTACAGTGAAGAGGCACCTGCTAATTAAATTCAGGCTTTGGTACAACTGTGCTTGCTCAATGACATCCATGTGCAAATTTAGCATACATTAGAGGAATCTGATTTTTGAATAAACTTCATTGGAATCCTTTGGCAAAGCAAAGAATCCTTTGTAATGCAAATGACCATCCACTAATTTATATCTTTTGTAAGGTGGGAGTTATGCTTTAGGTTTTTTCAACTCCTGTGCCACATTTAAAATCCAGTTGTTGTGGCGGTGGGAGAGAAGAATCTCTGGGGAAGTTGCATTAACTCCTTCAACCCTTAGCAAGCCATTTAGTCATTGATTGTTTCTGGGAACTATATAATACCCTTGTCACCTGAAAGATTTAAAATAGCCTTTGTAAGTGGCTCCGTGGTCTCTGAAAGAACATGACGTATTCCTTCTTTGTAACCTGAAAGAAATCCAAGTGTCAGAAGACACTAGGAAATGGCCTTAAGTTATACTTCTAAACATAAATACTAGAGGTTTAAATATTAGGAAACCATTATGATATGGGTTGGAAGTTGATGGGTGGAGTCACTATATTAGGATATGGCTGAAAGGGCAAGGGATGGATTGGCAATGCTTTCTATAGTAATCCTTGGGGAAAATATTGCTGGCAGATTTAAGGGTCTTGAACTCTGGCTGTACTCTGTGTACCAAAGGTTGTTCTTATTTTTTTTGTTCAGGAGCCCCCCTCCCTGCATTTCTGACTGCCTCATGTTTACACAGGTCCCCATAATGTTTCTTCTGCCAGCTCTACTTAGGATTGCTGACCCACTCAAGCAGCTTTTGGATCCATCTTCTGCACATGACCAGTGAAAGGAAACTAAGTGTATTAGAATGTCTTGCATTAGTGCTGGGAGATGGATTGCATTCCTATACCTTTTAAAACTCATGATCTTGACATATAAAATGGGGCTGTGGAGGGTGAGGTTCTCTATCTCTAAGTCTGGGTCAGCCTTTGCCTTTCATTGACCTCAGTGGATGCCACTTAATGGAAAAATATGATCAGGGTTCACCCTATGGAATCATTGCTTAATATTGTAGATGACTCATTGGAACTAGTGTGTTAGAAAATCACTTCCAGATGTGTAGCAGTAACTTTTCCAAATAAACTCTGGAAAACTGGGTTAGTTTTCTTTTTATAATCTTAGGGCCGGAATCGAATCTTCCTGTTATGGTCAATCAGCATATATTTGGAATTCTCAGTAGTGTGATCTTTGTTCACTTACTTTTAGACTGCCGCCCACATAAGTGTGGGGGGCTGCCTTCAACCTGCCTCCTTATGTCATATCAACTTCTGCCATCTCCAAGCCTCTGGTCTTCTCAGTGATGAATGGTCGGGAAGCCTTACCTACTATGCTCAAGCTCAGGTCTCATTCTTTATTGTTAACAGCAAACATTTCTTGAGCATTCCTACGTGAAGGCACATTGCTAGGTACTACGAAGGATGGCTGAACTACCTAGTTGGAGAGCAGCAGAAGTAGTGGTCATACAGCAAAGTGACTGAGAATGTGAGCTCTGGTGTCAGCGTCTGAGTTGAAATTCTACTTTCTGATTATTTAATATTGGGAAAGTTACTTAACCTTTCAAAGTCTCAGTTTCTTTGCCTATAAAAATGGGCATGGTGGTGATAGTAATACCTACTTCATAAGGTAAAAGACCTAAACAAAATAATCTGTGGTGAACACTTGGCATCGGCTCAGTCAGTTTTAACTATTTAAATTTTTTTTTTCTTTATTGATTTTTAGAGAGAGAGAAAGGGAGAGGGAGAGATAGAAACATTGATGAAAGAGAACATCGATTGGCTGCCTCCTGCATGCCCCCCACTGGGGATGTGGCCCACAACCTGGGCATGTGCCCTGACCGGAAATTGAACTGGCAGACTCTTGGTGCATGGGTTGATGCTCAACCACTGAGCCACACTGGTTGGGCAGTTTTAACTATTATTATTCATCTAATATGCCACCATGTGTAGTTTGTGTGTGTGGTTGTGTTTGTGTGTGAAAGGAGACCATGAAACAGAAGTTGTTTTTTATCCTCACCCGAGGACATTTTTCCATTTTTTGTTCAGGTAGAGTGGGAGGGAGAGAGAGGAACAGAGAGAGAGAGAGAAACATCCATGTGAAAGGAACACATCGAGTGGCTGCCACCCGCACAACGGACCAGGGCCAGGGACAAACTGCAACCGAGGTACGCGCCCTTAGCGGGAACCGAACCCAGGTCTCTCAGGACCGCAGGCCGACGCTCTAACCGCTGAGCCAAACTGGCCAGGGCAAAACAGAAGTTTGTTGACTGATACCCTCCAAGAAGCAGCCGCAGGGTTTGATTTTGGGGGGAATTTTCCTTAAATTGATTTCATTCCAGCAGAGAATTCACTGCCTTCTCCTAATCAATGAATCAGGCCCTGTTAAAAGAGGTAATGTGTTGTTATCTCCTTGGAGGCATCAGATGACAGATATTGCAGATCATGCAATAGTTAAGTATTCAAAAGTAGCCTGGAGCCCTTACCAAAGCCACACCTTCTTTAACAAGGTGTTTTGGTAAATGAACACTTTATTTGACAGTTTCTCTGTGTCAGAAATATGGGCAGGGCTCAGCTGGAGTCCGCTCAGGGTTTCACAGGTGTTGGCAGGACTATGTTCTCATGTAAAGGCTCTGGGGCCTTTTCCAAGGTCCTGCAGGTTGGCACAATTCAGTTCCTTGTGATTGTAGAATTGACTACTTTGTTTTCTTGCTGGCTCTCAGCTGGGTATGGTTGTCAACTCCTAGAGGACACCCTTAGGTCCTAGCCATGTGGGCCTCTCATAACATGGCAGTTTACTTCTTCAAAGCCAGCAGGTGAATCTCTCTCGATCTCCAGTAAGGGCCCAATTCCTCTTCCAGGGATACCTGATTAGACCAGGGCCATTTAGGATAATCTCCCTTTTGATGATATCAGAGGCAATTTATTAGTTACATGATCAGGGGAATGCCATCTCATAATATTCACAGGTCCTACTTACTACACTGAAGTGAAGGGGATTATACAGGGTCAGTAAACTGGGGGCAGGAATCTTGGGATACTGCCTACCACACTGACTTGGGCAAGTTGCTGACCCTCTCTTAGTCTTTGTTTTCTCTTTGATAATATCTGAGTAATGATAGTATTTTCTAACTTGTAGGATTATTACAAGAATGAAATGAAATAGTATATGTAATGCATGTAACACAGCATCTGGTGCTTAGCAAGAAATGCTTTCAATAAGTGTTAGACTCATGGAAGATAAGAGCTACTTTTTCTTTTTCTCCTCTTTTTCTTTCACTGGCCCCATCCCAATAATGAAATGGCTTTGAAGGTGGAGCATGTGAGCAGATGGTAAACGAGTTGAGGTTGTTTTTTGTTGTTGTTTTTTTCTACTTGAAGTACAAAAAAGGATTTCCTAAGAATAAAGGTCACTTAACACTCACATTTATAAGCCAGTTGCTTTAGAATGTCTAGGTGAAGGCCTTCCTCCAGATATTCTTCTAATTTGATTCTTTGCTAAATGTAGGCATGTGCAGTTCTCAGTTCATGCTCCTCTGCCCTGGGTTTGAGGTATGTTTCCTAGTTAAGGAAAAGTTTCAGATATTAATTTACTTATGAAAAACCAGTTTTCTATACTTCATCAGTGTTCTATACTTGAGAATACCTTTGATAACAAATGCTAATTTTGTGGAGCAGGAATGTCAATATACAGGATCTGCACTGGATTTCTCACCTTTAGTCTAAGGATATTCAACAATTCAGCCTCACAGTAGTCCTGAAATTTAGACTTGTTTTATTCACATAAGCTCCTGAGACATAGTCATTGCAGAGGATTTAAGTATCCCTTGATAGTTCCAGGGCCATCCCTAGAAAAAAAAATGAGTATGTATTGCTTCTTATCATTGCCTGTAGAAATTGATTATACTTCAGAAATACTTGGAAAGTAAATTTCCATGTGAAAAATAGTTGTTGAGAAGCCCCATCTTGCTGGTGGGGGTGGGGGTGGGAGGAAGCAGAAGAAGAGGAAAGCAAAGAAACAAAGGGTGGAGAAACAAAAAAAGGCAATGCTTCCAATTTACAAACAGAGGGAATCACTTCTGGAGAGTTTGATTCTTCAGGATGGAACTGACCTTGGGTGTCACTTTTCACATGACATAAATGTTCCATTCAGTAATAACAAGTCTGCTTGTTTATCTTCCCTGTGAGAAGTTGGAAGTTTTGGAAGTTTGAATGTGTGTAGTCAGGACTCAGAGAAACAGTAGCTTTTGAAACCTCTGCATGGCCTTTCTCATTCCTTGGCCATCTCCAATGCTGCTTTTGGTTGGGGGCCATCCTACATCTAAAGCGGGAAGATGTTAGCTGCAAAGAAGATGAAAAAGTTGCTGGAGTTGATCATCTCTTGGCTCCAACTTGTTATGAAAAGTGGAAAGTATGTGCTGGGGTACAAGCAGGATCTGAAAATTATCAGACAAGGCAAACAGAAACTGGACATCCTCACCAATAACTGCCAGTCTTGTGGAAATAGATTATATTACACCATATTGGCCAAGACTTGTGTCCATCACTACAGTGTCAGTAATATTGAATTGGGCACAGCGTCTGGAAAATACTGCAGATTGTACACATTGGCTATTATTGATCCAGGTAATTCTGATAATCATTAGAAGCATACCAGAACAGACTGGTGAAAAGTAAATTCTGCAAAAAATTGTTTTAATAAAACTAGCCAGAGCTTGTTTAAAAAAGAAAAGACAGAAACTACTGCCTGGTGGCACTGAGGAACCTCTACAGGATTCCTGCCCCCACTGGGCTCACCCACCACACCCAGCATGAGTTCCCTTTCTGTGACTCTCACTAGCACACAAGTGTCCTACAGTATTAGATGCCTAGGGAGAAGTCAAGTTGGGGGGAGGGGTTATGAGTCGTTACCTCATTGTGAAGACCTCAGTTCTTCCTTTAGCCATAGAAGGGAAAGTCTAAAAAGAGGTATAAGGATTATCTTCCACATTTATACTTTAGGCTGTCTGCCCGTTCCCTAAAGATTTTACTTGTATCTTCTTTTAAAAATAGAATTGATTTAAAACTTTTGTGTATCAGAGGTCACTATCAAGAGAATAAAAAGGCAAAATGGGAGAAAATATTTGCAAAGCATATATCTGATAAAGGATTAATATCCAGAATATATAAAGAACTACAACTCAACCAGACAAACAACTTTATTTTAAAATGGACAAAGAGCCCAGCCACTGTGGCTCAGTGGATTGAGCATCGTCCCATAGACTGAGAGGTCCTGGTTCCTGGTCAGGGCACATGCCCAGGTTGCGGCCTTGATCCCCAGTGGGGGGCGTGCAGGAGGCAGCTGATTGATGTTTCTCACATTGATGTTTCTATTTCTCCCTTCTTCTCTCTCAAAAAAATCAATAAAAACATAATTTAAAAAAATGAGCAAAGAACTTGAAGACACATTTCTCCAAAGAAGATATGCAAATGACCAATAAGACACTTAACATCACTAATCATTAGGTAAATACAAATCAAAAGCACAATGAGATGCATCTTCATACCAATTAACTGTTGTTTTAAAAAAGGAAAGTAATAGTGTTGGAGAAGATGTAGAGAAATTGGAACCCTTGTACACTGCTGTGGGAATGTAAAATGGTGTAACTATTGGGAAAAACAGTTTGGTAAGTTCCTCAAAAGGTTAAAGATAGAGTTACCATATGATCCAGCAATTCCAATTCTAGGTATACACTCGAAAGCAGGGACACATATAGGCATTTGCACACCAGTGTTATATCAGCATTATTCACAAAAGCCAGAAGGTCGAAACAACCCAAATGTCCATCAGCAGATAAACAAAACATGGTATATGTGTAAATGGAATATTATTCAGTCTTTAAAAGGAATGAAATTTTGACACATGCCACAATATGGATGAACCTTGAAAATATCATGTGAAGTGAAAGAAACCAGACACAAAAGGACGAGAATTATGTGATTCTACTTATATTAAGTACCGATAATAGGAAAATTAATAGAAACAGAAAGTAGATTAGAGATTGCCAGGGGTTTGAGGGTGTGGGATGGGGGAATTAATGTTTAATGGGTACAGAGTTTCTGTTTGGGATGATGAAAAGATTTGGAAATGGATGGTGATGATGGTTGCAGGACAGTGTAAATATACTTAATGCCACTGAAGTGCATACTTAAAAATTGTTAAAATGGTAAATTTTGTTAAGTATATTACCATAATAAACAAAGTCGATTATGTCTTTTTGGATTACAACAGGAATACTGCTGCTAGAAACTTTTCAGGAAAAACAGAAAAAGAAAAAGAAGAAAAAAAAAATCACCCCTAATTCCACCACATAGGATACATGTTTTCGTTTGGCCACATTTATTTTCTACTACTCGACCCTTGTCAGTAAAAAATGACAGTCACGCCCTGGCCAGTTTGGCTCAGCGGTTAGAGCGTAGGCCTGCGGTCTGGAGAGACCCGGGTTTGGTTCCCGCTAAGGGCACGTACTTCGGTTGCAGTTTGTCCCCGGCCCTGGTTGGTCGTGCGGGTGGCAGCCACTCGATGTGTCCCTTCACGTCGATGTTTCTGTCTCTCCCTTCCTCTTTCTCCCTCCCACTCTGTCCGTACAAAAAAGTGGAAAAATGTCCTCGGGTGAGGATAAAAAAAAAAAAAAAATGACAGTCACTTTCTACCATTTCCTGAATAGTTGGTGTAATAGCACCTACTCATTCCTTGGTGAAATTTTGATGCTCACAAACAGAAAAGAAATAATAAAGGCCGCAGAGTAGTAAAAACCATAGCTGCTGTGGAAGGTCTTGTGTTGCAAAGCCCTTACTCAGCAGTGCAGTGGTTCTCAGGCCATGACTGCATCGTGGGAGTAGCTGCTGGCTGAGCACAGGGATCTAAGGTTAGCAGACCTGGCTTCTAGCTACAGTTTTATGGAAATTATATAAAAGGGCTTGCAGATCTGGTCATTCTCATGCTACACATTGAGCCCTGGAGCAGCATCCCATTTAGTTATTATTCAGGTCCTCTTTATACTGGGTGTGGCTCTTATCTCTTGTGTCCGTTTTCAGCCATTCTGTCCACTGACTACCTCAGGGCCTTCTAAAAGAAGCTCTGGCCACGGGTTCCTGAGGGAGAGAAAGATGCCGAAGCTTCACAAGGGGCTGCCTTTACCTGTTTGCCTGATTAGCACCTTCCTTACAGCCTGAAAGCTAAGTGGCTGCCCTCTGGTTGCGGTGTTTACAAGAAAGCAGGGCAAGCCTTTCAAGTGGCCAGAGTCTGAGGCTTCTACAGAAGATGCTACTGCATTCCTGAATTCCAGGAATCTCTTACTGGGCTAGGCCTGGACTGCTCCCTCAGAGAAACCTCCAGCAGTCAGAGGAAAGAGGAAAGGCTCAATGGTTTAGCATGGAATGGGGTGGCCTGATAGAGAAAGCTCTTAAGCATTTCACTGTGCTCTGTCTTGAATTCTAGAATCATTTGCTTTCCTGATTGAAAATGGGATATTAGTTAAATGTGGGATGAAAATTGCATGGGTGAGAGTAGATTTAATTTAGATGGCAAGAAATCCTTCAGTTGGCCCATCCTCTGCCATATATATATATATATATATATATATTTATTTATTTAAGGCAGAGAACCAGTAATCCTGTTTTGCCAGAATTATCTTGATTGTGAAATATGTAAGCAGATTTTGAAGTAATTACACTGATCTTCCTCCTTAAACACAGTGCAATTCCACATGCAAACAAGTACTGTCCTTTGAATAGTCCCAACTATAGGAGGCCACAATTTCTCCCTAATGTCATTGCTCAAAACACAGGGAATTTCCCTCAGAAGGAGTTTCCCTCACATGACATGGGTCAGTCATGTGAGATTACCAGGGCCTTTATGATATAGTCTTTTATGTATGTATTTTTATCATGCATGTATTTTTATCATTAGATGAGAGTTTGCATTTTGGTAATAAAGGAAAACTATCATTAAAAAAAACAGCCCAAATGTCTATCAGTAGACGAATGGATAAAAAAGCTGTGGTACATATACACAGTGGAGTACTATGCAGCTGTAAGAAAGAAGGATCTCTTATCCTTTGAGACGACATGGAGGGTCCTGGAAAGTATTATCCTAAGCGAAACAAGCCAAACAGAGAAAGACAAATTTCATATGATCTCACTTATTTGTGGAACATAACAGTCTGAGTAATGGGGTAGTCCCAGAGACGTGGAAGCAGGGTACAGACTGACAATCCCCAGAAGAGAGGGTGGTGGGGGAGAGATAAACCACAGAACTTATATGCATGTATGCATGAACAATGGACATGAACAACAAAGCTGGGGACAGGGCGGGGAGGGACGGGGAAGGGGGAATCAGTGGGGGAAAAAGGAGAAACATCTGTAACAAAAATAAATAAATTAAAAAAAGAAGAAAAAAACAGCTTCTGTGCAGCTGGTGTGGCTTAGTGGTTGAGCATCGACCCATGAACCAAGAGGTTGCCAGTTCGATTCCTGGTCAGGGCGCATGCCCAGGTTGTGGGCCTGACCCTCAGTGAGGGGCATGCAGGAGGCGGCCAGTTGATATTATCTCTCATCGATGTTTCTATCTCTCTCTTCCTCTCCCTTCCTCTCTCTCTAAAACTAATAAAGCAAACAACAAAACAAAACAAAAAAACACACACACAAAACCTGGCTTTTAATGGTTTAATTGCATTTCTCTAATTCTACAATGACATCATTGTTGCTATTTACCTCCCCCCTCCTTCTTAGCCTAGGGTTTCACCTAGCCTATTGAAATTTCTAGAATTTTTAAATACTTTGTGTGAAAACTTAGATAAAGATTTCCCTTTTATTTTGGAGTAGTACGTCATGTGCACAGGAGGTGCTCAGTAAATTATTTCTTGGTGGATGTGTCTTGGAATTTTGAACATTAGTTCCAAAATCTTTGTTCTGTGAAATTTGAAGTCAACAGTATGAATCTCAGGTGAAAGGAGAAAAATAGAAAAGAGATGGAGGAACATTAAAATGGTAACAGTGGTCATCTTTGGACAGTGGGATTCTAAGTGACTATTTTTTTTTCTTTTAAAAATTAAACTAAAAATTCTTTTTCCACCACATCTGAATAGAAGTTTCATTTTTCCCAGTTCTTTCATTTTTTTCTTTCTTTTTAAAAAATATGTTTTTATTGACTTTTTTTAAAGAGAGAGAAACGTCAACCTGCGAAACGTCATTTGGCTGCCTCCTGCGGGGATGGAGCTCACAACCCAGGCATGTGCCCTGACCAGGAATTGAACTAGGACCTCTCAGTCCATGGGACAAAAAGTTTAATCCACTGAGCCACAATGGCCGAGCTTCTTAATGTTTTAAAATCGAATAAATTTGATGTGTAATGTTGTGTATGTTTAAGGTGTACAAGGAGCTATTTTCATGCATTTCTGTATTGTAATATTTATCCATTACATAGTTATAGTACAGTATTATTGTCTGTATTTATTACAGTATACATTAGATCTCTATGAGTTATTCATTTATTTATTTTTTTATCTTCACCCGAGGACATTTTTGCACTTATCCTCAGATAGAGCGTGAGGGAGAGAGGGAGGAAGAGTGAGAGAAACACCAATGTGAGAGAGACACATCGACTAGCTTCCACCCATACAACCCCAACCGGGGCCAGGGACAAACTGCAACCGAGGTACGTGCCCTTAGCGGGAACCGAACCCGGGCCTCTCTGGTCCACAGGACGATGTTCTAACTGCTGAGCCAAACCGGCCAGGGCTCTCTATGAGTTATTTACTACTCATTACAAATTTGTACTTAAACACCATGACTATTATCTCTACCTCCAGCCCCAGATTAAATTGTTTTCAATGAATATGTTTTGCTTTTATAATTATACAAGACCAATACATCTTTTTTTTTTTTTATCCTCACCCGAGGATATTTTTCCATTTTTTGTACAGATAGAGTGGGAGGGAGAGAGAGGAAGGGAGAGAGAGAGAGAGAAACATCGACGTGAAGGGACACATCGAGTGGCTGCCACCTGCACGACCAACCAGGGCTGGGGACAAACTGCAACCAAAGTACGTGCCCTTAGTGGGAACC